TAGTTTATTTATGTTGCTATATTAGTTTCAGCATGCAAATAGCTTTTCATAGTTACACAGTAACCACTACAAATAATCAAAAGCCCCTAACACCATATGTTGCAGTAAGTTCAAATTTTTGGTTTGCATCTTGGCACTTTTTTAGGTTCTCCTAACTTTAGTAGCCTGTAAATACATAGGTCTGGGATCATAAATAGGAATGCACTGCACAGCATTTTTGTAATATGTCCTGTGGGTATATAAGCTTGTTTGTCATCAAAGCTCAGCTGAAATGTGGGATCAGGATGGGAATCTCACTGAAATATTAATTGAAATTTCATTACTTGGTATCATTTTATTTTCTAAACCCTCATTAATTGACAGGATAAGTTGGTTGGTTTTGGTTTTGTTTTTGTTTTTAACATTCATATAGCTCTTAGAACACTTCAAGAGCTATTCCCTTAAAACTTCTAAAAATAACATCTTCAGGGACAACCCAGGCATGTGAGATTTCAACCCAGATAAGAAGTGTTTTGAAAACTTACCAAATGTATAAACAGAGAATACATAATGAAGACCCTGTAACCGACATGCACAAGATTGATGTCCTCCATGAATGAGCTACTTAAAGCTTATTTTTGTGCACTTAGCCCCCCCAGCCTGGACCACAGAATCCAGACTGTAGTTCCTGCTGCCGTGGTGACTTTGGAGTTCGACTCTACCAAGGGCCCCCAGGACCTCCTGGGCCCCCTGGGATGCCAGGTAAAGATGAAGTTTAATTTATTTTTTGATTAGTCTAATTGCAGGCTATAAATTCCAGGCTATTCTATGAAATATCAGAGAGTGGCCCAAACATCAGTATTTGGGACAGATTCAGCAACAAGTTTTTCTATAATTTCTGTGTAGACAGATATTTTCAATTATATTCTAAAGTATTTTCTACCTATTTGTTATTAACATTCAGCTTTCACAAATTCATACTGAAAGAAATCTTATTACATTTCTAGGGCAAATTGGTCTCTCTTCTTAAAGCAGCATGAAAATTCCATTGAAGTTGGAAGAACTTGTTCCCTGGAGTTGATTATTGAGATCACCTTTGTATATCCAGCTGTGTTACTGTGTACTGTATTCAAGAGCTTTTCTTCATCGAGCATACTGCTAGCCAGTATTTTACAGAGACACATATACTTTTATTCTCTCATAGGAATTCCTTCATTTCCTTCTTTCATCTTGTCTTCCATAATAAAAGCTACTTTTTTTTTCCCCCCCCAATTAAAAATGCACAGAAAAGAACAGGATACACAAGAAAAGTGTGTACTTTGATCCGATAATTGGTATGGAAATAGAAGAGCCTAGGGAAAGGAAAAAGTTAGTTGTATGTTGGTGTAACTTTGCTACAGCAGCTACCTTCAGGGATTTGAAAATTCCTGAAGTATAACAGAAATGAACACATCACTGACCAAGAGGCTCATTTCATCTTCAAAAGCTTACATCTTCGGTTATCACAGTAAAAATGAAATTCAGTGATCCACTACTTATTAATAAATTGTTGGCTTCTTAGGAGTAGGACATGATTTTATATCAGACCCACACTTTCAAGACTGCAGTGGACATACTGGGACACGGCCTAGTCCTTTCCTCATGTATCCAAGTCCCACTTTCTTGTCATCACAGGATGCCACAAACATATGGCTGGCAACAACCTCCTGCACCCTGCAATTTCTTTGTCTCCTTCATCTGCTGGATTTCATGTTGTTGTGCCTAGCAGTTGCTTTTCCCTTTGATCGAATCCAATGCTGGTTGCAGACTTCTGTTCTGAACTGCTAGAAAAGTAGTTCTGGCTTTACCTAAAGATCATTCTTGTTATTTTTAGAGTTACAGATTCCTCTATCCAAACAAAAATTTATATTTCTTTCACCATTTAGCTTCCTTGTTTGAAGTAATCTTTTTCTCAATACAAAAAATCTGAAGAATCACTTCATCATCAGATGTGATCTCAAACAACACTTCTTGTAAATTTGTAACCAGAGAGAATAATCAAAGAACTAGCAGAGATACAAAGAACCTAATTTTAGTTCAGGTAGAATTAGAATAATGATGACATTAATTAATCTCCTGAATTGAAAGATCAAGCTTTTGCTGCAGGAGGCATAATAATTGCTCAGTAATTCTAGCCAACTTTAAAATTCTGTCAGTTGCACAGACATTTTCTCAGTAATTTCCTCAGTAAACATCAGGAAGTAAGTAATACTGCAGAAGCAGGAGTATGCTTTATAATGAGTCTTCTTACAATAAGCCATCTCAGAAAAGCTTAATTACAAAAATTTGGTCTCTCTTTAGATCTAGGAGAGTGCAGTCATCAACCCCTTCAAGTAACCAGCACACTGAGAATGCACACTCTCCTGTTTTTGGCACAGATGGGTCATACAGCTCGTTTAAGGCTACAACCACTCTTTATTTGTGTGGACGTGTTTTAAATACAGCAAAATGTTATTCAATATTATCTTATCCTACCATAACTAACTGAAATTACCAGGAAATAAGTTTTACACAAAAGGAAATCAAGAGTGCTTATGCAGGCTACCTGGTATGTGTCAGCAGGCAGTGGCTTTCCCTTTCCTTGAGCCCCACATCTGCTGAGATCTTCTTGCGCTTCTCCTCAACAAAGCAACGACTTGAGACAACAGCAGGTTATACCAAGACAGCACGAGGGTTAACTCTTAAACATCAGTTTATGTTCTTCTGGAAACTTGCTCACCAAAACCTTCACCTTCAGTTTAAGCACGCAGCTGTTTCTTATCCATCACAGCCCAGTCAGGAGGTTTATGGTACTGAAGATTAGACGTGTTGCAAACGTGTGGAAGAGGACCCTGTCACACTTACCTGTTAAAATACATTGCATGATTTCAGTTAAACAGAAAGCTTTGTTTCCTCTCAGGAAATCATGGAAACAATGGAAATAATGGAGCAACTGGTCAGGAAGGAGCCAAAGGTGAGAAAGGAGACAAAGGAGATATGGGACCAAGGGGAGAGCGTGGCCATCATGGACCCAAAGGCGAGAAGGGTCACCCTGGGATTCCCCCAGAGCTACAGGTACAAATTCTCTGGCTCGTGTTGGCTGCAGCAAATCTCAAGTTATGGTTTCCTCCACTGAAAAACATCACCTTACAGCTGTAAAATAATTAAGTAAATCCCCCTATAAATGAACACTGTAAGAGGTGTATATAGCCCTTGTCCTGAGAGACAAATGTGCTCTGCCAGATATACCTGGAGAAGAAAGGGTTTAGTCTTTCTTTAGAGTAAGAATTCATCTGAGAAATGGGCAGAAAGAAACACATATGCTTCTCTTTGGGGGCAAAAAGCCAGTATCTAGGTTATTAAAGGAGAATTGCTGGGACTATAATTTTTCTACCAAGCTGTATCACATAATAACTATGCTTCCTACAGCATATGAAAAGAGTAAAAGAGTCACTCATGCTTCTCAGGACATTCAGGCTTTGTGAGATTCTCAGAAGCATATATACCCAGCTCCTCAAAGTATGGTCTCAAAACCTTTGAAGGCAATCAGAGACCTCTAGCTTTTAAAAAATTCCCCTCATTAATTTTCTGTATATTTATGTCTCTAGATACCTTAAATACGTTGGGAGCCTTGTAGGTTCTGCCTATGAATGAACAACCCAAAAGCCAGATGAGCAGGGTTCAAGCCTGAGCTGTAGAGCTCAACAGTGGGTTTAAGCCTGAGCTGTTGAGCTCAACACTGTGTTGGCATAATCTCATAGCTTTTGCACTAGAGCTTCTTCATATCTCAGGATTCTGGTAGATGGCAGATGAAGTATAGCAGAGACATGGTGTAGTCCCATTCTTAAATCAACAAAAAGTATATGGCATTTGGATAGTTTAAGACCCTTCCTTGCTGTTGCAAAGGGGATCTAAACGAGTTGTCCCCACTGTATATCACAGTGTAGCAATATACAAGCAGTTCATCTGCAATAGCAGGAAGACTTGACTGCTTCTATGATGCAGTGCAGCTAGGGTGCTAAAGGCAAGATTTAGATGCATGGGGCAAGCCATTGAGATATATCCCTTCTGGTCTCTAGCTGCCACCACAGAGGCAACTTCAGTAGGTCACATCAGCTGGCCCAGCATGGGGAATCCTAAAACACTTCAGAAGGTACTGGGTGCATTTGTGTGGGAGAGTGATGCCAGTCAGATTCATCTCCAGATAGCCAACATGTGAGAGAAGTATCTAAGCTCCCATTTAATTTCTTAGGATCTTGAATAGCAACTCGACTACAGTCACTTCTGCTCTTGGGCAAATGGCACTTCAGACACCAGAGAGTATATAGGTCTCCAAAAATGGAGATTACATCCTCCCTCATACAAACACTCTTTAATGGAATCGTCTTAGCCTTGATCTGATTTGTATTACCCAAACCAAAATCACCACAGAAGGGACAAAATGGGATAAAGCACACACACACAATGAGAAATACCACTTCAAACCCTCTGACACTCTGATCTGATCCCCTCTTAACTGAAGGACACTGTTTGCTGATAACAGTCATTCATATCTATTATATACCCTCATAAAAGGCATGAAAATTAACAGCAAAATCAATCAGTACAACCAACAAGTGCAGTGTGGAAAACTGACTTTGGATTTCTTGGAATTGTGTATGTTTGAATTCCCCAGGGTGCATGAAGATGGGATAATTGCACAGAATATGACTCACAATGAAAACAGTTTCAAAAATTGATGGATTTTTGTAATAAAGCATAATTATTTTAGTATTCTTAAAGAATAAGCTAGAATTCACAATATAGCTGAATATCTCAAAAACATTATTACATTCAACACATATCCTTTTGCAATTTTAAAATGAACTATCACTATTTTTTCTTACGTAAAGATAACAGTAGTGATTTAGTTAAACTGAAACATGAAAGAGGATTAATAAAAAGCTCATATTGTAATACCTGTTTCCAAATAAAATTCCATCACTGCTTTTAACAGATGTGTTTAAAAATTCAAATGGGATAGTATATCATTTCTTGTTAGCACCATGCTTAAGAATTTTACATCTGGGGTAGGTATAGGAGAAACCACTTTTGAATACAATACTGTTTTAAGTACAGGATTATTTTGGAAAACTTGGTGTATCCCTGTTGACCTGTTACTTCTAAATGAGACCTAGGGAGAAAGGACATATTTTTCAGCTCTTCTGATCAGGCCAAGGAAAGTAGCTTAGGGTTAGAGAGACTGTGAAATGGAATCTAGACAAAAAGCAATAAATACCATCAAGCTGCCACTGCAGCTGCTTTCCTTTAACACATGATGAACTTTGATGTGATCCTGGATGAGAAGCAAGACGTTAACAATTTGCCGTCATAGAAAATGCATCTGTGCAGGGATAAGGAAAATCAGCCCAAGCTTTCAGCTCACATCTGGAGCTCCTCAAATTTCTGAACAGATGGCTAATGATTTCCGTTGTTGGATCCAGACTTGCATTTGATTGTCTGTTTTGGTTTTGTTCTCATTTGGATCTGAAATCAAAAGAAAATTGGGATGGTTTTTTATTCTTCTAATACCAGTGTAAATGGAATGACACCAAAAAAATGTCATTTCTGTGATGGGCTGTAACAACTGCAGGTGAATACTTGTAATATAAGATGCTGAGATAGAAATAGACAAGTCTTTATGTGATCTTCTGGCAACAAAGTTCAGCAATTCTGCCTGTACCCCATTTACTGGCAGTCAGATGAGGGGGGATCATACACTCACAGAAAAGATCACCCCTGTCCTTGACCATGCAAGCTGGCAGGGTCATTCCCTGTTATCTTGCTGAGGGTAATTTGAGTTGTCCAATACAGGACATTTTGCACTGCTTCCTATGAAACATTTTTGACAGCAAAAAGTAAAATGTGAAGCTGAGACATAGTTCTCACTTTCTTAGTTTCCTCTTTCGGTCTCCACCACCCTCTGTTTTCATGACTGAGGGCAACTGATAAGAGAGAAAAAACACTGTGAATGTTGAGTCTCAGCAGCTGCACTTCCAGAGGACCACTAATAAAACTGCTTAATGCATCTCTATGGTAGTAAGCAAGAAACACTAATCTGTATGTACTTTACCAAGCATTATTTATTTTCACACATTCAATTAAAAGCAATATGCAGTGTAAATGCATTGGGGAATGTATAAAAACTATATAAAACACGTCTGTCAGAAACACCATCCATTTTGACACCATTTTTCTGTTGCATCATCCTAGGGAGACTTAAAAGTAAATAAAATCTGAAGTGAAGGTTCTGAACTGCAAACACTTGACCATACACCTACTTTACAGTTGTGAATAGTCCAATTGAATGTAAGAAACCTAGACTCTTCCAGGTACATTCAATGGGAGTTTTGTTACTGGAGTTTATTGGCCTTGGAGCAAGCCCCAGAACATCTCTGTCAGGAAAATAAACAGACTGCAAATACAGGGGGAAAAAAATCTGTAGTTGATTGCTCTACACATGTGCTTTTTAAGAACGACTGCCTGAATAAGAACTGGATTTTTGCAGGTCGCATTCATGGCTTCGATGGCTACTCACTTCAGCAACCAGAACAGTGGGATCATCTTCAGTAGCGTTGAAACCAACGTTGGGAATTTTTTTGATGTCATGACTGGGAGATTTGGTGCTCCAGTGAATGGTAAGCATTTTCAAAACAAAATAATGGAACTCTTGGAGCTGTAGGGAGAAGTGTGGTCAGTAACGATGAGACACTATTTAACTGCTTTTGCACAAGGCACTGACAAGATTTACTCTGCATAGCTCTTGCTACCTCTTTTTGAGAAAAATGAACTGAAAACTAACCAAGGCTAGAGAGGTTTTGCCAGCCAATGAGACTAGTGCTGGCACAAAGGCAGAAGGAAGAGGCATGGCCAGGGCTGGGGAGGGAGCAGGACCAACTGCTTTGGTGTGGCCTTTAGCCCTTCAGCCCCTGTGATGAGAGAACCACAGTTCTTGATGTTGCAACAGCAGCAGCAGCAGCAGCTTCACAGTTGCCTCCTCCACCTTCTGCCTCCAGTAACTTTCTTCATCCCCATCTTCTCCCATGCCAGTTCAGCTGTGAGCTGACCTGCAACAGCTGTGTGGCGGGAAATGAGGCATTACAATTCTTCCTGAGCTATTTTTCAGCTGCGTCTATTCCCCATCTTATGCAGCTCTGGTGTGGGAAGAACAAGCCCTGCAATATGCAGAATTAAAATTAATCAGATTTTGGAACACTATAAGAAGAAGCAAAATACCCACTGATAACTGGAAGGCAGTCTGTCCTCAGCTGTTATGTTTTCTAAGAAAGAAGCATAAATCTGCAGAATGATTACCTCCCTCTACGAAGCAAACATGTTGTATTTGATAACCTTTTCAGGGGTGTATTTCTTCACATTCAATATGATGAAACATGAAGATGTGGAGGAAGTGTACGTGTACCTGATGCATAATGGTAATACAGTGTTCAGCTTATATAGGTAAGTGAAGGGCCAGGCCATTTTAATGCAAAAAACTTGTATCTACAGACATGATAGCTTGCTCACATTTCAAGAAATGCAAATATGCTAAATTTTTTATGAAATTCACCAGGGAAAAATAAAAACTATTTCATTTCGCCCTCCTCAGCTTGAAAATTTGGAGCATATACATCACAGATCCTGGACCTAAAATTCAGCCTTCGTCACAAGTTTTTCAAACTCGGGGAAAAGGAATTAGCACTCCAAGTCAGGATTGGAGCTCAGTAGTAATGTGCTGTCATTCTGCTAAAATATATCTTCATCCTTATTTTGCCTGTCACATATAGGAAATAACGAAGTGTTCAGCAGCTAGTTACAGTCTTGTTAAAGATGGGGGAAGAGCAAATTACTTTTAAGTTGGAAAGTGTTTAAATTGCAGTAGTAGGGATGAGTAAGAAGCAAAGGTCTTCCACTTACTGGCTTTATCATTACCACACCACCAAAGGCTGCTTCATTCCCAATAGATCTTTCCTGAAAAAGGAGTGCTCTATTTTGTTTTGCCCTGAAGCACTGATGTCAGAAAAAGCAACAGGTGGAAGCAAGGGAACCAACAATCATGCAAAGCCAGGAGGTTAGCCCACATCAAATGTATTTATGTTCCAAGGAAGGGCCTCAGGATGGAGTGAGCTGCCTGGCTCTGCCCACTGACTGTGCTGAAAGCACAGGGGCTCAGCTCACATCAGATTCCTGACCTGGAGGCATTTAAAATTAGCTGGGATGACTTCAAGGGAAAAGAAATATCACAGGAAATCTGTAGTGTCATGATGAATGAGCAGAGTTTTATTTTAAACAAAAAATTTGTTCCTGTTCCCTGGAAAAAGTTAAAATTCCAGAACTTCAGAAAGGAATGAAATGATGCAATTAACTAAGGTGAAAAATTTGACTAGGAGATCAAATGCAGAAAGTTGCCCAAATTTTCTTATAAAACTGAAAAAACGTTGGCATCCTTTCAAGGAAGGTTCGCTCAGGATAACAATGTACTATTTTTGGGTTTTTGTTTGTTTGTTTGTTTGTTTGCTTGATCACTGTTGAGAAACAAAAAGGTGACTTAAGTAAAATATTCATCCACAGCTATGAATCCAAAGGGAAAGCAGATACTTCAGGAAACAGTGCAGTCCTAAAACTCGCCAAGGGAGATGAAGTTTGGCTGCGAATGGGAAATGGAGCCCTCCATGGGGACCATCAACGCTTCTCCACATTTGCTGGGTTTCTTCTTTTTGAAACCAAGTAAAAAAAAGAAACTATCCAACAGATGTTTATCTGAGGAAACATCTTTTTTTGGAACTGGTATTTTTCACTGGACTGTGTAATAACATTAGAACATTGGAGGATCAAGAAGGCTTGTTTTGATGCAATGTGTTGCTATTTGTGTATCAGAGATGAGCTGAATACATTGTGGAGCTGACACAGCGTCACAGAATATGTATGGTCATCTGGGTTGCACCTATTGAATCGTTAAATGTTGCTACTGCTCTTTTTCCCAAAGTGAATGAAAAACAAAGGAAAATGATTTTAAGCAATTTAGAGAGTAGTTTACCCAGTAAAGTCAATTTTGTCTGTAAATATACTTTAGTTAAGTATATGTCAGGAATTGAATACTTGATTCAAGTTTTTCTAATCATTTATTCAGTTCTTATTACATGTTCATTTAAGTTTGCATCATGGAAACAGGCCTGAATATATTATAAGCAGGCTCAGTTGAGACCAGGTCTAAAGGAGTAAGTTTGTACTGGATTAGAATGAGCTCCTCAAATAGAAGAAAAAAATGTGAAAATAAAGATGTCAATGATTCAGGTTTATTGCATTCCCATCTCAAACCTCTGATGATGTATCTGGTGTCATTTTTCACAGATTTTTAGCACATATTTATGCCTTACTCTCTCTCTCTTAATGGAAGAGTGTTAGTAGTTCTTGCCTTAGTAGCAGCTTGAAGCTAAGGTAATTTAGTCTGCAGTGTGAAGGGGATCAGGCAGGGGAATTGTAATGTTTGCCCCTAGCCTTAAAACTTTTAAAGTCTGATGTAACTGAATACAGGGTATCCAAGAAGAGTCATATACGCTAGAGAAACCAGGATACGCCAACAGCACAAACAGAACATAAGCTTTGTGGTGTTTGGAGCTCCTTTAGAAGAATATACCTTATAATACTGCATATTTACTTAACAGTGAAGTTGTTGATACATCTTTCCTAGCAGCCTTCCAAGAACCAGTATTTCAGGAAAAGACATTGCAAAGCAGCAGCAGTTAATCCAGTTCAGTATTTAACTGGTGAGAGCAAATGCTGGCTCAGAAGTTCTAGTCCCAGTAAACTGAGCCACTCTTCAACATTAATATTTGTCATGACCTTTTCAAAATTTGGGTACCTGAAATTCTGTCTTGCTATTTTCTTTTCATTGGAGTCAGCACCAAAATCAATACTGAAATTTGAATGTATTGTCTGTTCCTCACACAAAAGCTGATGAAACATAAATTCCTTTTTAACAGACATTACTTGCCATTAATGCATAATAAGCAGATGGAGTTAGGAAAACATTTATTTTAAATTCTTTCATTCTGGATGCAGATACCAGGGGCACAACAATGGAGCAAATGAATCAAAAATTGCCCTATGAATTTGTATGTCCTTGTACACATTCCTAGCGTATGTAACCACATTGTATGAAGAAAAATGCATGTTGATACTTGATGATTATGACTTGTGATTTTTTTTAGTTTTATGCATCAACCACTGAAAATATTAGCTTTAATGAACTGTTGTCCAATGAGTTTTATAATTTCTTTATGAACTTGGGTCAGGTTTGCACCACATAGGTTTTCAAAACCTGAGACCACGTTATTTTAATAAGCTTACTTTGTAAAACATACATTTATCCAATAAAGATTAATGGTTACAAAACTATTACTCGTTTGTTTGTATCTATCTTTATCAAGGACCTTGCCATTTGGAGACTAGGGAGATATTCTTAATATGCTTTTTCTAGGCATTCATTTTGCTACTGAACGAAAGAAAGCCAGCATTAAGGCTTAAAATATATTTATTTTACATAGGTGTGTATATATATATATATACACACACACACACACACACACATATACATAAAATTTAAATCCCTAAAGATTTCTTTGGGGACTTAATTTTCCTTTATGATATGGTCATTTTTATCCAGTTTTGTCAGAATAAAGCACTTAGAAACTGTGAGACATACACTCATTTTCAGCTCCTTTACATTATCTCTTCTAATGGCCATTATATAAAAGAAAGTAATGTTTTGCCATAACTGTTTTGTGTTGTTTTCACAAGTTTTGTTCAACTTGGCCTGCTAAGAGTGAAAAGTGACTAAGAATTATCATAAAAGCATCTGACAACCAAAGAGCAGCATGGTCTCAGTTCCAAGAGTAAAGCTAAAGAGTTTTTTACATCAAGGTTAAAATTTCCTAGGTTTTGTATGAAACTTCTTGTCTTTCTTCTGCAAAATTATCGTGTGCAATCTCTGCTGACTATCATAACATTTAAATAAATTAACTTACTAATTTCAAAGATCCTTCAAAGTACAGCAGTTGATGTGAATGTATGTGTGTGTTTTTGTTTCTCAACATTAACAAGCTTTATATTCAGTAAGTCATATGGAAATGTATGGGTTTTTTTCTCAGAAATGTTCATGAAAATTCATCATCTTTCCATTGCTCATGATTACTGAAAGCCTCTTGCTTAGCAGATCCTCAAGGCAAAATTTCCTGTGTCAGAGACTTTTATCCTCTATTATACAATACATGGTGTCTTATAATTTTTGTTACAACAGAGAAGCCTTCTGGCCATTGAAAAGCTGTAATTCGGAATATACGTAATGGCTTTTTGTGTTAGCTAAGATGAATCTAAATCTCTCCCACTCCCTGAGCTTCCAGATTTAACCAAAACTTGGCAAGACCTGCAAGCCCCTGCCTGCCATGAGGGCTGTGGTTTGGTGGGTGACATCCTGCCTCTGTGGTAGGGGCTGGCAGCCAGGCAGGAGAAAACACTTCCTGACACAAAGCCAAGTTGAGCCCTGCTCTGTGTGAAACACCACCCTCCACTCCTGATCCTCCCTTCCCCCAGAGCTCCAGTCCTTCCCTGTGACATCTGTGCAAGGTAGAAGTTCTCATCTCCAGCTGCATCAGGAGCATCAAGTGCTGCATTTTGCAGAACAGGGGTGTGTGTGGCTTGAGAGGTGCTGGGTGGACACCCTTGCCAGGGGTAAAACACAACTTCTGTGCAAGAAATAGAATGACACCAAACCGAGGGAAAGAACCATTGGGCTGGGTCCCAGTTTCATGAGTGGTGTTCAAAGAAAGCAGAAAGCAGTTTAGTTAGAAATCTCTGAGAAAAAAAAGAGTCTGTGGTTTTAATTTCAGAGGCTAGTCTGTGGCCTGAGAGTGACTGAGTCGATTCTGAAGAAGCAATTTAGACTGACAATAGTTTGCAGCCTTAGTCCCACTGGAAACCTTGCGAGCCAGAGGGAAGGCTTTAAAGAAAGAAATATTTTTCTAAAGAGGAAATAAGGAACACAGCTTTTCACTCAGATCTTTCATCTTCCACTCTCTTTCACTGAGTGTCTACATTACACCCTGCTGTTTTCTGAAGTTTTCTTTTTAATAAAAGTGGGTTTGAATTAAAACTTTTTCGCCCCCTACTTAGTTTACATTATTAAAATTACTTTTTTTTGTGCTCAGAACTTTTAAAAAAGTTCACACAAGGACAAAACATGCAGGGAGTCACTGCATAGTGTGTGAAAAGACTCACAGTTGTTCATTTCGGTGAATCAGTAGCAAAGTTTCTCCAGTTTGAAGTTAGTTCTGCTTCAGCAACCAAAGGAAATAAAAACTGAGTGATCAGTCCTGATTTAAAAATATGAGGAAAGAAAAGGAAGTGTGCAAAGCTGTTCTCTAGGCTGGCTGTCATACTCAGATACCAACAAAGAAAGACATAAAATCTAGAAAGTATCTTCATAAATTAAAAGAACTTGGTAGAATGGGCACTTCTTAGTATAACCAGATTCCCTCTTACACGAAAGGGCGAGAGCTCCCTTAGTCCTTGGAGACTTCCCAAGCCTCATCATCAGGCCGTCTGGTGAAATTGATACTAAAAACCAAAGCAGTGTCAGAGTCCATTCTTTGTCCCAGAGTTACCATCTGACTATGCTGATGAGGCTTAATTAAACTCTCTCAGCCTCTGTACTAAGGTGTCTGTTTGCAAAACTATCTGTTGGGACTGATCCCTGGCTTGTGCTAACTTTGAAGTAGTACTCAAAAAGTTGGGCAGATACTCCTTGTCATGGGCTAAAGGCATTCACTGGGACATTATGCTAATGCAGCTGCATAATCCATCCATTTTGGTAACACTATCCAGCAATTCCCAGACACACTGTTCCTGAGTACCTTTTAGGCTGCACAAGGACTGGCAACAGGTGTGGGAAGAGACTATGCTAGCTTCTTGACATTCCATATTCCTCCCAGCACTCGTTAGGCCACTCTTGTGCCACTGGACAGATGAACTCGGTGCACAGATGGTGGCATGAAAACAGTAGGGATGACAGTGGGAGAGGCTCCGTACTGTGCATTTGCACATGGAATGGGACAGACCGTCCTCCATGAACACATTCACAGAACAATAAAACCCATGCAGTGCAAGGTTTTACTGAACAAAGAGACTCTTTGTGTTAACTGGTGAAAAGTTGCAGAAATGAAATGATATTCTTCTCCTTTTTTGAAAAAAATCCATGAGACATTAAAAAAAAAAAATCCTCAAAAAATGAGTGTTTTAAAAGAATTACAATGCTACAACACCAAGAATGGAAATACCCATGTTAAAAATTATCTTTGACAAGATCTTAGCTTGCGTTTCCTGTGAATGTGTCTCACGTTGTGTTCCTCCCATCATCCAGTCACATGATGCTTCTTGGCCTTGTCCAGCAGCAGGTGTAAGATGCCTGTTGACTATGGAATTGCCCATATAGTGGAATGTGATGGCAAGACATGAATATATAGAAAATCTTCATTCAGTAACTGCATCCAAATGTACAGTTAATGAAGCATCATTACTATAGAAAATAGCACACACTAATATGTAAGAAAGATCAGCAAAATTAAATTAACAGCAGTAACCTCCATTTTACAATAGTTTCTAAGAGCTATGTTTTCTAATCTTAGCAGTTTTTTGACAGAAAAACACTACAGGCTCTCACAGTGTAGTAAAGTTGATGAAAGTTAAGAAAGTCCATAAGGACTAGAATTTCAGGCCAGGAAATTGGAATTCTGAGTCTATGCCGTCCTGCCACATCAAAAATCCTGGTCTACAGCTAGAAAGTTCAGGATGAAATTTAATTTGTCTCCGGTTCATCTTTTAGACTAGAAAATAGTAGAAGTATCATTGTTTTGAGTAAAATCTTTCAGATACTGCATCACTTCAGATAAGTGCTTTCTTCCCTCCAAGACTCCCTGCTTCTCAGAATGCTTGTTCCTCAAATTATTAAAAGCTCACAAAATAAAGAACATGTATTCGGTATGCCATAAGGCACACATAAATGCCTCATGGGCAAGGTGATGGAAAGAGTTCATAAAAATAAGCATTTCTCAATTCATCACCTAACCAGTCCAGGAGAAATTGTCTGTGATGGATATGGCAGACAGCACTATCTGTCAAGAACGGCTCCCTGGAAGTAAATTTAGGGTAGAGTGGCCAAGCAATAATACATGTGGTGCCCAACATAGACCTGAAGCTCAGTATCCAGGGGAAAAAAAAATTGAGAATAACCCTGGATTTTCCACTCCCTACAAGAGTAGTTAATAACAAACTCACAGGAAAATATTTATTTTCTCCTGATTACCCAATATAAGGATTATCTATATAAAGCTACTTACCATTCTCTTCATCTAAATCACGGAAGTACAGTCACAGCTGGGAATCAAAGGAAAGAAAAGTATTTAGGTTCAGGTACAAGGGTTAAGGTTCAAAGTACTGAAAACACAGTCACAGGCATCAGTAGTTTGCTCTCCTACTTTTAAGAGAGTATCAGGGGGCAAATTTCTGGCACTGTGAAAGTTAATTGTTCACTGAAGCAAGGCCAGATCATCACTGCGATGACTGACTAGAATAAAATACTCACAAATAGTACTTTTTCTAGGGTATGTCAATTTTAGTGACAGGGCAGCTTATACAATCACTTTCTGTGGATGAGATGGAGCTTGTATTTCTAAATCTATAATTCATAACCTCAGACACACAGAGACACATTAGCAAGCACCATGGATTCACAGCTACTTTAGAAGGGTATGATGACCTCATGATAGATTTTTTTGCCAGTGTGAGATGGGATGTACACTTCAGAGAGTGAGCAGTGATGTGCACATCCACACTCACACAGAAGCAGAGAAACACAGAAAGGCAAAGAGATGCTCGAAATGGAAGAGTTCATTGAAATTGAAGAGATTAGGGTGTTGCACTTGACAAGCACATTGTACAGGGGACAGTGTGTCACAACAGCATGCAATATGAGGTCAGAAATGTGGAGTACCATCTACACCATCTTTGTGGATATCAAAAAGTGTTATGAATGGAGCACAGCTTCTACTCAGGCAAGGCATAAATGCAGGCTTTGGGATAGAGCAGACATATTTGAAAGCTTTGATAAACTTGGGACACAACAATACCTTCATAAATTCCACGAGAATCTTTAAAGGCCTCAAATTCAGTTTAATGCAGATATGTTTGAATTTACTAGAAAAGGTTCACCTTACGTCATGAACTACTAGTTACATTTTTAAGCAGTTACATAATTATCAAGATTTGGAATATTGTAACAGATGTGAGCAATTCTTGCTTTTGCATTTAACAAAAAAACCCCAAACTGTACAGATATCAGTATCTCTTTAAACATATATTAGGATGGACTAAACTGTAAACCATATGCACATAAAAGGGAAGAATCAAGGCTTTGTGTACAGCTAAAACGTCACATTGCTGCCTTGGTATTTTTTCAAAGGACTGAAAACTAAGAGTAATTTTACCCAACAAATCTGAGGTCAACTGTAAAAGTCTGGCATGTAGTGTAGCCAGCCTCTGTTGTAGAAGTGTCTGTACCTCTGCAAGAAATGTTTATATAGCACAAAGTATATATAATTTCATTTTTTAACACTGACATAGACAGCAATTCACTGACATAATTCAATAAAGCACACAAAAGCACCCTGACAAGGTGTCCTGCCACCCACAGTGCAGATTTTACCCCAAAACAACTTCCTTTCCTACACTCATTGCCTTGGCAGCGATGAATTCATACAGCCTCCTATTTGCTGCTGCATATTAATGATAAATATTAAATGGTATTGCATAAATAAAACACTGCATTGTTTTCACTGGAAGTCCACACTAGAGGAGGACTCCTTCTTTTTAACATATATTTTGTGCTGGCCAGCTTGCTGCTTCAGGAGAGTTTGCTGGACTCAGATCACTAGCCTTCATCTCATAGTTAATTAGAATATCTGTTTCTCTCTCATGCCTGCGTATTTCTTAAGTTTCTTAAAATTCAGTTTTTCAAATTGGATTTAATGCTCATAAAATGCTGCCCTCACCTCTCTGAAACTGAAATAATTCAATAAGGTCCTGACTCAAATGCTTCTGCCACAGAGTACCCACTGTGACTGCAGATGACAACAAAATAGCAGGTGCAAAGGACTGCTCACTTAAGCCATAGCAAAATCCAGTGTGTGATTATGGTGTTATTTGGGTGTGATAAACTAAACAGCATTAGGTGAAATGAAAGAAGATGACACAACAGAAGGTGACACAACAGAAATTGCCTGTTTGTATTCAATACAAACTCCAAGGTGTGATGGGACAAATGAAACTGAAAATTATTTAGAGAAACACAGTGCCACAATAATATGATAATGTCTGTGAAAATAAACCTTTATAGTTTATCTAAGGGAGAAGGATAACAAACAAAACAAGGCAGCTGCGTTTGAATGAAAATGCACATACTTTTCTCCTGGCCCTTTCACAGCAGTGGATACAATCAGTGCCTGCATTACAGGTCCTGGTGTCTACCTGGAAAATAAAGGCTATTCTGGCAATAGGCTTCTTCTGTTATTGCAGAGGTAGAAAAAATTCTGCATTCATATTTATGGCCTTTACACATTTTTGTAGTCCAACCAATTTAAAGAAATATATAGAATGAGCATGGAACTGTTCCTTTGCTCTGTCTGCTAGTGGGTAACCTGAAATACTAGGAGCAGGCTGTAAGTTTGAAAAGCCAATTGGTTAATCTATTGCCCAAGGTTTCATTACCTTTCCTGGAATTATGTCTGTTCCTGTAAGCAGCTGATGCCACAAGAACAACAGGGCCAGACAGCCCTGTTTAAAGGAACATCTGGTGAAAAAGACCAAACCATTTTAATATCCCAGCGTGTAACCAAGGGGTCTGGGGTGCATGGAGTTTGGTGCATCTGTGGTGCCTGGGGCCAGTGTGAGCAGCTGCCAGTGCTGTTAGCCACCCTGCCAAACACGACGGCAGAGGCTGGGGAGTTTTTTCGAAAACAGGGTGCTTATTTTTACATTCTTTGTGCTGAGGAATACACTCACTGCACTGTGAGGTGCAGGTTGAGCTTCGAGGGGCAGGAGCCACAGCCTGAGACAAGGGCCACACGCTGCAGCTGCTTTGCCTAAAAATGGGGACCTGATGCTGAGACATAGGAGCACATGACCCCCAGATTCAGACTTCAAGGCTTGGACTCGATGATCTTGGAGGCCTTTTCCAGCTGACTGATTCTGTCATTCTGTGACTTTCCCATGCTTAGACTGTGAGGATACAAAAACCCAGGCCTCCCTTTGTTAGGGGTCCCTACTCAGAGGCACAAGCTCTAAGTGTTGTTATTGAGTTATTTAGTTTATTTATACCATGATTAAATTGAGGATCTGGATGCCTGAGACTCTGCTATGGGAAACCTGGGGCCGAGCCAGTAAGGAAACGTGGTCTGTCGGTGTGAGCATAGGGGATGTACCTGCGAAGGAGCCCCGGCCCCAGCTCAGGGGGTGCGGGTGCGACTATCAGAGTGCTCCCTGGATGGTCAGGCCGGGAAGCTTCTTTAAGAGTTCAGCGTTCAGGAGAACGCCCACTCCTCCTCCCTCCGACCTGGTGCGGAGGGTAGCGCGGGGTGACACGGCCTCGGGATAAGAAGAGCGCGGCGGGCACCGAGGCCCGGAGCCCGCGCCAGGGCGGGCGGGGCGGCCAAGGGCGCGGCGGCCGGATCGATGCGTCGGCGCTCGCAGGCGGCGGCGGCCATGGCGCTGAGCGGGGTGCGGGTGCTGGAGCTCGCCGGGCTGGCCCCGGCGCCGCTCTGCGGGATGATCCTCGCCGACTTCGGGGCGCGGGTGGTGAGGGTCGACCACCCGTCCCGCTCCCCCCCGGCCCCCGACGTGCAGGGCCGCGGCAAACGCTCCCTGGCGCTCGACCTGAAGCGGCCGCAGGGAGCGGCGGCCCTGAGGCGGCTGTGCCGCGGGGCGGACGTGCTCATCGAGCCCTTCCGCCACGGTGAGGGGCGGCGGGGCCGGGGCGCCTGAGGGAGGCCGTGTGGGTGCAGCGGGAGGTCGGGGCCGCGGGGATCCCGCCGGCCAGCCTGTGAGCTCTGGAATGCAGAGCGGGAAGCGGGCGGGCAGCGGGAGTTTGGGGTGCATTTGCTGTGGCTGCGTGGCGGGTGCTCTGTTTGGGCTCTTGCAGTGCAGCATCGCTGTGACAGCGCAGGGAAGGAGCGCTCAGACAGAGCCGTGCCCCCAGCCGGGGCTCTGGACGAGCAGGAGGATATCCCAGCCAAGGGGTCACACTTGGCCTGCTGATACCGTCCAGCTCACATTTGTAAGGTTGCCATGTGGGTCAGAGGTCTCAGAGCTGGCAGTTCCTCTGAAGATCTGACGTTGTGCATTTATACTGTCATGCATTTGTAAAGCGCATATTCCAGGGAGATGAGTATAAGAACAAGTGTTAAGTATTCAGTAGAGTAGTATAATTCTGTTACACAAGATAACTCTGATTTAGGCTCAAAACCAGGTTATGAACTACAAGTCTTCGAAAGTCATATGTGATTTTAGGAAGTTGCTTTTCATGAACTCATTTCCTGCCAGTCTTAAGTCCAATTTACGAAAACCTTCCTTGTTTTGTAATTATTTTCCATTTTTAACATTAGGTTAAATATTTAGGTTAGATAGAAAATTAAAGTTAGGTTAAATAGAAAACAAAATTCTTCAAATATTCAAGTATGGAATTATTCAATTTTTGAAAATTATCTTTTAAAAAGATATTTTGGTTCATCTTTTAATTACAGTATGCATATTTACTAATTTACAATATTTAGGGGTGCTTGACATCTGCTTGACAATAGCAGAGTTTACACTTTTTTACCGTTTACACTGTTTTAAGGTTCTCAGTTTCAAATATTGGCTTTTCAGATCTAACATGTTGATAAGCCATACTTGATGGTTATTTCAGTATCCCCACTGTTCCTTGAGGATGCTGTTCTGCTATGAAGAGTATCATTGGGGTCAGGACAGTGCTCTGTGCACCCAGATCTAATTGAAGATGTCTCTGCTCCTTCCAGTGGGGTTGGACTAGGTTCCTTCCAAACCAAATTATTCTGTGATTCTATGATGATGCTTCAGTGAGGAGCTGAAATGTTTTGGGGTTTCTCTAGGCAATTTAGAAATATAATGCTGTATCAGTTAAACATCACACATCATAGACAGACCTACAGATTGTGTGTCACAAATAATTCTTTTCGTTTTGGAAACAGGGTTTTATAATTTTTACGTGTCTTACTTTAAAATTGTTTTTTTTATTCCCTCCCCAGAAGCTGTGCAGACAAAATGAAGACATTAAATTCCATTTTTTCTTTGTAGCTAGTCTCCTG